TCACTTCTTTTTCAAGAATGGCATATTTTTCTCTTCCTCTCAACCTTTTTTTGAAAAATTATTTTCAACTGCGGAAAAACCCTTATTTTTCTTTTTTTCTCTCTGGATGATAAAACTTTCAAAAGCAATTTGTTTTTAGATATCCTTAATGTCAGGAAACACCAAACCTGCCAATGTGCCATCTCAAGAAAGTAACTTTTAATACCTACAATGAATCAAAAGAGTAAACCAGCTGCTCTTATATATTTTATTTTTTAAATTAAAGATACATTTTAGAAGCAATACAGGTAAATAAATATTTTACCTGATGGGGAAAAAAAACTGCTTTTCACTTAAACCATTCCAGCACAAACTTTCATGCTAATTTTTAAAAAATAAGTATCCGATGGGTTTGTAGTTGGATAAGGATATAGTTTCTAAATTCCTAATATTAAAGTTAAAAACAATCTTTTTGTTAGTAAATAGAGGCATAAAAAAGTCAATGAATTTTTCTGACCTTTACTGTGAGTCAGCTTTTCCTAAGAGAAAAGATATAGTAATAAGTAAAATTAATGTTGAATGTTTAGGCAGTGCTAATTTTTAATGAATTTAGTTGAATTTTCTCTTTAATGTATACTACGTTCAGCAGTTTGCTTCGATACTGTGTCACTGAATGAACACATTTCATAGGTAGCCCTAAAAGTTCATAAAGGAGAAAATCTTGAACTGTATATCTGAGGCTTGATAAGGTAGTATCCAAACCACAGACCACCTAATGCACATTTTTGTTAAATTTCTTCCCAGTATGATTGTCATTCCAACACCAGCATACAGTACAGATTGTCTTTTCTTCATTCTTCTGTTCTTCCTGTACCTATTTTTGGCAGTAAAATTTTAGGAAAACCACAGTTATTTTCTTAGAATTGAAAAACAATATTTACTGTTTGTGGAAGGCAAATATTCACTTGGACTGTAAAGATACAATGTCAGATACAGAAAGTAACTTTTATTAATGCATGTCTTCCTGGCCAAGGGCATGCTGTTTAAGCTTTGAAATGATTAGATGAGGAAGGTATAATTATTACTGATATATAGATGAGATATCTGAGGTAAAAGTTAAGTGTTTCAAATTTGTGACAGTCTTTTGGATATTCAGAAACCTTTCCTTACTGCACTGGCCATCAGTCAGAGCTCAATTTTCCCAGCATTCACTGCAGTAGAAGATATAACGGTCCCGGTCTTTTGGAAACCAACTATATTCCAGAGCAAGAGACCAGCAGACCATAGCCTTTCTAAAAGAACATTAATTTATTTGATCTACTAATTTTATTAAGCACCTACTAAGAATAAGGCATGTGGAAATAACTCAAATGTGGTTGAGGTGCTTATATACCTTCCCCCCCCCCACACACACAAAATTTTTAAATCATTTTCTTATAGAGTAAAATCTCTTCTCCATAATCATCTCAATGCTTTTTATTCTTTAAACTTGGACTATCCAAGTTTGATTCTATACCGGCTTGGATGGTAGAAGTTAACACAGCTTGGCTTCTCCTTCAAAATTAATTTATTAGGTAATCTCCTTACAACCCAGTCATTAACTAGAGGAATCTGATCATAATTATCTGCATTTAACAAATAGATAAATTAGAGCTGACCCGTGGCTCACTTGGGAGAGTGTGGTGCTGACAACATCAAGTCAAGTGTTAGGATCCCCTTACTGGTCATCTTTAAAAAAATAAATAGACAAATTAGTTCAGATATAGGTTATGTATATCACCCAGGATTGAAGGAATCTGCATTTGAATATGCCTGTGTGAATTCGGGTTCTGTTATTGCAATAGAAATTAAGTGATTTTTTTTTTTTTGGTAATTTTATGGCTATATTTTTTTTCTTCATAAAAATTAGCCATATAAGAGAAGCAGTGCCATGGGAAAAAAGAAATGCATGCCAGAGTAGGTATTCTGTTTTACTTTAATATATAATAGAAGACTAGATGGAAATCAGAATTGTAGAGGAAAGCTTAGGAGTTACTAGACTTTTCAGGGTAGGGATTTGTCATGGTTAGAGATTTAAAGACTCAAAATAGAAGAAAGTTCTAAATCAATGAGATGTATACTAACATCCATTTCAAAGTTGGAAAAACATCTAGGAATAAATTGAGACTAGGGAATTTATATCGGAATAGGTTAACAAGTAGATTTGGTCATAGTTTATATAATGTTTAATGTGAAGGGCAGCTCAGGTTCATTTTTAGAAGAAAAGTAAACTCATTGTGTGCTCTTAATAAAAATGTATTCCATCTCTTTTCCTCACCTACCTTTATTCTATAAAAAGTTAAATTATTAATTTGCCGAATTGTGATCAAAATTCTTCCCTATTTCATATCAAATTTACCTATCACTAAATCATTGCTTGAGGTCTAAATATTATTAGTTAGGAAGTAATAAGCCTTGAGTCAATTTTACATTGGTTTGTTCCCTATGCTTGAAACCACTGCCCTAAATAAAACAGTTCCTGATTGATGTTTGATTTAAAACGAAAAGGTGTAGTGTTAAGAGATTTTAGTTTTGTTATATTGGTCATGCTCCTTCAAGGCTTTGAAAGCACATTAAAGTTTTAATAACCAATAAGTACAACCTTTTATATAAATTTTAGTTTTAGATTGACTTCTAGTAAGTAGACAAAATGAACATGTACTTTATAATGTCTTGTAAAAAGGTTGAGGGACTAAAAAAAGTTTATGGCTTTTACGTGGAAGATGTCACATTAAAAAATTAAAATATCAAATATTTATACTTTGCTTTTCAAAAGAAATGCATAATCTTGTTTGGCATAGATACTATGTCATTTTTATTTTAATTTCTTATTATTTTTGAAGATATATACTGCCAAATGGAAATAGTTAAAGTCACGTCCTCAATATTTGGCAACAAAATTTCTAAAAGTGGATAACTACAAGAATGGCATGAAGTGAGTTATGTTATAAAAATGTAAAAGCCATTACCAAAGTATTTATCATTAGCATGGTATTCCCTGTTAACATACAGTATATTGCAGAAAATGAATAAACATTCCTAGTACTTAATCTGGGAACTGCTCAGCAAAGAATGCTCAAATTTTATATTCTAAAAGAATTACATTTGCTTTTATTTTTACATTAACTGACTACTTTTATATTACAGGTCTCTAATATATTAAAGTTAATTCTATTTTAAAATATAATGAGCAACACAATTATAATTATACTATGTTATTTCATTTATATACATTGCTACACTCCCTCCACATCTTTCAGACTGGAAATTTCACTAATGTCTCTTTCTTGCCTTTCTCTTTAACTTGTTTCCATTTCAGGAAAATTTAATACATTCTCCTATTAAAAATTTCACATATTTAAAATATTGAGGTAAACTCTAAAAGTTAAGTTTAAATTAATCTTCTTACATTCTAGAATGTACTAATATTTTAAAACCATACAGAGTAACTATTATTTATCTCTGTCCAAACATGGGAATTTTTCTCCACTAACTTTTTTCAGATCAAAAGTTTAGGTCACCCAGAAAGTTCTATTTTTTTTTTTTTTCCTTTTTGTCTTTTTTTTGTGTCCGGCAACGGATCACAACCCTCAGTGTCGCACCCGTACCGGACCGGGACCGGCAACGGGATCGCAACCCTCGGTGTTGCTCCTGCACCTCGCTCAGCCAGTGAGCGGGAACCGGTCTGTATGTGGGATCTGAACCCTCGGCGGGAGCGCCGCCGCGCTCCCAAGCGGCGCACTGTAGCAGTGCGCCACCAGGCCGGCCCCAAAAGTTCCATTTTTTAATCATAGGACAGGGAAATGACTGTGCTTCAAATGTGCATTTTAACAAAACAAAACTCTTTTCAGAACTAACTTAGCACTCGGTGGTCATCAAATATTACTAATGATAATTAAATTATATTAGCCAGTTACTTAAATTTCTAAAATGATAGATGACAAAACTTACTTCCCTTATTAAATAGACTTGATAACCAAGTTCTCTGGTTCTTAACTGGGATATTCCCTCACTGACTTTTACCTTACTAACTTTACATGGTTATACCTCAGGATCAGTCTGGTGACTCGCCCACACTGTCTTGGTAGTGTAGTCTCTGGAATAGTAATAAAAGGTTATTAAGAAAGGTAATATGATCTGAATTCATATGTAAGACCCACAGAATGAATGTTGCTTCTACTTTATTATGTACTATACCCATGCTAGAGAAAAAGTGAGTTATAAGTTTTAGCAGTTTTTAAAAGATGAGGAGAAACAGAAGAGATTCAAGATAAATCCAACGAAATTATCTAAAAGTTAAAGTGATTATTATCCAAAGCTCCTAGGAATATACCAATTAACCAAAAAGGGTGCATCTCAACAACGTACCCTGTTTTTAGAAATATTGATAATGGAGTCAGAAAGGAAAGGAAAGTCAAATGTATTAGAAAACACAAAATATGGGCTGGCCCAGTGGCGCACTGCTACAGTGCGCCGCTTGGGAGCGCGGCGACGCTCCCACCGAGGGTTCGGATCCCACATACAGACCGGCCGCTCACTGGCTGAGCGAGGGGCAGGCGCAACACCGAGGGTTACGATCCCATTGCCGGTCCCGGTCCGGTACGGGCGCGACACTGAGGGTTGCGATCGTTGCTGGTCACGAAAAAAAGACAAAAAGGAAAAAAAAAAAAGAAAACACAAAATATGCATCTGGAGGTGAAATGAGAGGAAAGATCAAGATGATAACAGGTACAAGGGGAAGAGGTCCAGGGCTTTTTGAGAAGATGCATGCTGTGACAAGGCAGATTTACAGTGATAACCTCAGGTGATGACAGAAGTTAATACAATTTTCATAGTCTAAAAGGAGTTTCAAATGGTGAATAATTTCCTTATATTTGGTAAAAGAAATAGCTACTTCCTGTTCTTCAATGTCTAAAGAAACTAAGAGTTGGACATTTTTTTCCCTTTTCATACCTGCATTTTATAATTCTTGATCACACATACCATTTCTTGAGTTATTTTTATTTTAAATTGCACTGTTCCCTTATTTTTGGAAGTGTTTCTTGTATGTCCTTTACTTTGGAACTCCGAAGGAAAACTTCAGGCAGTGAGAAACACGGCCTCGTCAGAATCCCGGTCCTTGCCGCTGTCTTCGCTTGGTGCACACTCCCCACCACTTGGAGACCGACAGCTCAAATCCTCCACCCCAGACTCTTGATCACTGTTGGCTGATAGATCTGGATCTGAGCTTTTCAAATTGTCTTGGGTTAGAATCAGAGCAGAATCTTCATCACCTTGCGAAGGGCTCCTGGACGGAAATGATTTCATATTCCCACTGTAATCTTGGGGAGTGTTGGCTGTGCTGTTGTCTGAGGTAGAAAACCCTGACTGTTTGCTGGGTTCACTTTGCTTACTCTTCACTTTAGTGTGATTTAACTGGACTTTCTGGATTTTTTCCAGCCTCTAAAAAAGAGATAACAATTTCAGGGAAAAATCATAAATAATTTCTCATTTTTTATATATGCATGCCTTAGTATTCATTACCTCCTAGCTGAGGATAATGTAAAGAACATAGGACTTAGATGGACATGGGTTCAAACCTAGACTTTGTGACCTTGACAAAATAAATTCTGTAAGGTTTGCTTTCATCGTCTCTAATGTAAAGATGGTGAAAAATGGCTTTGCTATAAATGCAAATAGGATAACACAGGTAAAGCACCTCACAATTGGTAGTCTCCCTTCTTTCTACACCTCATGGTTTTGCACAATGATTTTCATCCTATGAATTCAACACACAGTTTTTAAAAATCAGGAATGAGGTGTTTATTATCTAATTTTTCTATTGAGATATAGTTCAGTTGCAATAAAATTCACCCTTTTAAAAAGTATACAGTTAAGTGGTTTACAGGTTGTGCAACCATCACTAATTCTAAAATATTGTCATTTCCCCTCTGCAAAAAAAATAAATAAATAAAACACTATACTCATCAGAAGTCATTTCCCATTCCCTGCTCCCACATTTCCCTGGTAATTGACTTGCTATCTCTATAGATTTGCCTAGTCTGGATATTTCATACAAATGGAATCATACACTATGTGGCCTTTGGTGTCTGGCTTCTTTCACTTAACTTTGGTCCTCAAGGGATCATCTGTGTGGTAACATGTATCAGTACGCCATTCTTTTTTATGGCTTAACAGTATTCCATTACATGAGTATACCACATTTTCTTTCTCCATCAGGTCATGGACATTTGGGTTGTTGAAAATACCTTTTACCAGATTTCATTCTTTGTTGTTAGCAGGGGAGATGTTACATGATAAAGTATTACATATTCATTCAAAAGGCATTCATGTAAGTTATTATCTATAAAAGTACTGTGCTGGCAATATGAGGAACAGAGGTAAATACATATCCAGCCAGAAAGAACTTGGGAGTGTTACAGCAAAGAGAGGCAGAGTTCATGTAATGCAGGAATTTGGAAGAGGCAAAAGCTATTTAAGAGGAATCAGTTAGAAGGAAGACAGCAGAGTAACTTTCAGGGAGGAAGGAGCATTTTTACAACTGTAAAAGAATTAAAATTGGCTCTTCTGATGGTTAGTAAGTGTTCCTGGCAGGAGGGATGGTGAGAGGAAAAACATGAAAGTAGGAAAGTGTCAATTGTGTACAAAAAGGAGAAACAGTTAAATTTTAGCAAGGGACATAGTGGAGAATAAAGTTGAAAAGGTGGATTAGACTGGATTATGGGAAAAATCTCAAATGCCAGGCTAAGGAATTTTGACTGTTATAAGGAAATAAGAGCCAAAGTTTTCAAATTAAGTTATTTTAGATATTCTAAATAATTTTTTAAATTATTACTTTAACAAAAAGAATAGAATCCTATGATTTTCACAAAGCTTGGGTGTCTTTAGGAAGAGTAAATAAAACTGTCCCAATGATGACATGAGAGGATTTTAAATGGCACAAGGCTGAGCTTCCATCATGGCTCAGAATTCTATGAATGTTACCTGTGGTTCATTTTGGTTCTCTGCATAAGTCTTTAATTCAAATCTCTCAGCCCTGGGGACAATTCACAGTCATTAGAGCCCAGGCATTAGGACTTCTTGTGAGGTGATGATTTTGATACACAGACAAGGTTAAAAACTACTCCAATAATGTAAAATATAATGACATAAGGCAGAGCTCTCCATATAGGTCCAAAGACATTTTGTTTGACCCTGGAAGATTTATACTAGAGTAAGATTTACACTTAGTTCAAAAATCCTCAAAACCAACAGTTTAACTTTGTGAATCTGTTTTATCTGTCTGCCTCCAGTATACACTTGAGTTTGGAACCCTAGACTTAAGATCTTTCATATTTATATCTTGAAAGGTGATGTTTTCTAGAATATTGGGGAAACAGGAGTGAGCCTCACCAGCTACCTCCATTGTTGGGGACCTTCAACCATAAGCACCATTCCCCCCAAGCCATTGTTATCAGTGGTGACCTGCAGGTGACTCCGCTGGGAAAGTAGACTTAGAATTCAACTTGTGATATTTTGCCAACCTTTATTTAGATGTTCACCAATCTGAAAGTAGGAAACTGGAAGTTCTCTTCCTGTCACACTATTGTTTTATGAGGTATAATGTCAACCTTAACTGTTGACAGCTTCCCAACCTTCCTCCTAATACTTTTTTCTACACTACATATGATCTTTAAAAAAAAAAGCTTTCATCATGTTTAAAACATTGAGCCTCAGTTCAGAATTCTGGTCCCAGACAACAGGACTTCACTGCCAGCAAGTGAATGACGTGGTGATGTATGGTGTTTAAGAAGATGAAGTGGGTTGGATGATCAACTAACTAGAGTGGTATCACTGAAAACAAAGCTATATACAATTAAGAAAAGCACTTAAGTATATTATAACCTTCCTAGCCAAGTACCCCAGAAGTTACAGAAGCCAAAATATACATGGTTTATACCAATGTCAGCTATTATCACTTATAAGTTAATATCATTATATAATTCATAAAAGTGGAGAAATAGATTTTTACCACAAGTGCGTGTATCTGATTTTATTCTTTCACTTTTCTCACACTTTCTCCAGAATTAATTTTAATACTCTGAAATAACTGTGACAAAAAAAATTGACCTATAGAAGGAACAGCCAACTAGTTAAGCAAACTATGGAAGTGAGCAACAAGCCAGATGTCTAAAATGTATTAAATGCCAAGGTTTGGGCTTCAGTTATCTGGGTGCTCACCTGGGTGGGGTTGTGCTTTACGTAATCCACTGGCTAAATATGTGAAACAGCTATGTTGCCACATTTTACGTACTGAGTCTTGAGAGGCTTCCCTGGAGCAGTGCTCTTCAAAAAATAAGCACAGAAAATAGATTAACGATAGCAAGTGTGTCTTACTTCTTCTAGGGCCTCTAGTTCTTCCTCCAGCTGCTGAGTTTCCTCCTTCACTGCCATAAGGTAATCTGTAACTGACTGTCGGGGCTGCATCCCCTTTTCGAAGCGGTTGTACATTCCACTCCAGAACCTGGGAAGGATGGCAGAGCTTAATGATACCAGCATATCACACTCTAAAAATTTAAATCCTCAAGTCTTAAGGAATCTAATACCACAGTCCCACGGTCTTAATAACCAAATGCAAATTACAGGCTTGAAAAAATTGAAAACTGAAAATTAAGGTATTAATTTCATATTGATTTTTTTTTTCTTGGATCAGTAAACTTTTGGGAGAGTTCATGAAGCATCTACTTCTATATATGACACTGAATTAGGAGGCACATAATGTATTTCTGTAAAATATGAGGTGTCTTAACAGAGTTCATGGAAAGATTTGTATTATCTTTTAATTCCATTTTTCCATAAACTTTTTAAAGTACCATCATAGATTAAAATAGCCTGTTGCCATTTTCTTTTTTTGTTTGTTTGTTTTAAGAAAATGGCTCTTAATTTTGAACTTCAAAAATTAGTGACTGTACATTTAGAATCTCTCAGCTGCAAAGGGAGTTTTCTAAACATGGAGTTTTTAGCTTTTGTTTTATCACAACCACCAAAACTTGACATTTGCAATAAATCCTCCCTTTTTATCCTACACAATAAAGCATACTGGAATGCAAATAAGAATAAAGTGTTATTACAGGAATATCCTTAGAACCACTCATTTATTTAGAAAAAAAAGTACTTTGAGGGCAGGGACTTGGTGTCACTCATTGTTTTACCCACAATATCAGAATAGTGCTTGATCCTCAATAAAATACTCGTTGACTGGCTATTAATATAAATTATTTGTAGTAAAATTGATTACAGTGTGCCTCAACAGCTCTTAAAACTGCTGCTTTACATAAACCGTGGAGGCCTTTTTTTAGTATTACAGAATTAGTAAAATAAAATAAAATAAAATTCCATAAAATAAAATTCTCAGGAAATAATTACAAATAATTAAAAACAAACGTCTTGGGCCGACCCTGTGGCGCACTCGGGAGAGTGCGGTGCTGGGAGCGCAGCAGCGCTCCCGCTGCGGGTTCGGATCCTATATAGGGATGGCCAGTGCACTCACTGGCTGAGCGCAGTGTGGCCAGTGACAAAAAATAAATAAATAAATAAATAAAAGCAATAACTTAAAAAAAAAAAACATCTTGAATAAAAACTACAGAGAAAGAAAAGTGTGTGTGTTGGGAATGCAGGGAGAAGGAATGTGGTTTTTCGGTTTTTTCTGTTTGTCCTTTTCCTGATCTCTACATCATTCTTCCATGTCATACAAGCCTAAAGAATAAGCCAAAGGTCAAAATAAAACACGCACATCTAGTACAGACCTAGTAGAATCTGTAGGACGCCACCCTGCTCTTCCCATCCTAATATATACAATCTTAAATAATTTATTTCCACAAGAGAAATATTTCCACCTGGACTTGATTCAGCAGAGACAAAAAGCTAAACAACTTCATGATCACTATCAAAACTTATGATTCCACATTTGACTTAGAAGGCTCTCATTCATTCATTCTTTCCTTCCTTCCTTCCTTCCTTTCACTTTAAAAAAAATAAACTGGAACTGAGATTTTTAAGACATCATTATTATAAAACACCAACTTCTGAAGAGAAAACCACATTTAGCGGAAATAGAGTAGGAGCATAGACACTGGCAAAAATACCAGATCTGATATTCAAGTATCTTTCTCTGGTGTGTTTTGTGTCCAAAAAAGCCTTGCAGCTTAGTGTTTCATACACTTTGGCCTCCGAAAGTTAAGCAGTGCCAGGATCCAAGCTAGACATAGCCAGACAGTTCCTAGAGGTTTACATACTTGTACATGAAGTTGCAAGGTGCTGTAGGGAGATGAAGGGTTCCCTGCATCTGACTGTGATCAGCTCTAAATAGAGGATTCAGGTAGTCAGCCCGATTCTTCCACAGGTGAGCCCATAAAGAGTATGTTCTTTCTTGAATCCTGTTATAAAGAAAATAAGTCTGAAAATGACCTATCTTGGTTCTTACGAATATTAGATATATAATATTAAATCTAAAAAGGAACTGGTCTTTGTTATCTGACTATCAAGTGCCCCTGTTCTGTAGCAGGGAAATTGACCATCTTTGTGGCTTCATGGTAGTGGAAGACTGTAATAACCTCAACTCCTCTACTATCCATACTGGCCTTCACAAAATGTTTCATTCCTCTGAGTAAAACAAAACTGCTTTGTAATTTTTCAGGGTTTTTTTCCCCAATAGTCATTGAACATTTATTATTTTCCAGGCATTATTCTAACTACTTCCATGTTTTCTCTCATTCAGTCCTCACTGAATTCCTGAGATGTGTCCATTTTACAGATGAGGAAACTGAGAAATAGATTAAGTAGTTTCCCAAAGTCCCAAAGCTAGTGAGTGGAAAGCCAGGATTCAAACCCAAGCAGATACCATTAAAATTGGCTAGTCTAGTACAACAAGCCACAAAAATCTAGGGAAACAGGTGAGCCTAAAGGATGCACTCTCCTACTTTGAAATCTCTCCATTTATCAGGAATTGTACTTGAAGTTCCTTGGAGAAGACCTAGTATCCAACTAGAAAAAGTAATTTTACCATTCAACTCAGACTGTATAAAACTACTGGGGTCTATTCTATTTGAATGGATCATTTCCAAAATGAAATCTGATGATGCTGTATATACCACAGTTAAAATCATTTTATTCAACGAAAATTTCAAAAATGATCTTTCATTCGCACTTCCTAAATCACTTTGTTGTTAAGTTTTTGACTTTATTCTTTATTTTAAAGTCCACGTTTTTATCTACTTTTATCCTTGGATAAAGCAATACAGTTTTAATCTCAATAAACAGTGGTTTGAGTTTCAAGTTTGCTATCCCAGTTATATATGCAATTCTTATTATGACAGTATATCCACCAAAGATGTCTTTTTCCTGTTAAATGCAAAAACATTTTCTCTGACTCCAGAAAGCTTCTTTTAAATATTAGTGTATCGGGGCCGGCCCGGCGGCGCACTGGATAGTGCGCCGCTTGGGAAGAGCGGCGGCGCTCCCGTCTGAGGGTTCGGATCCCACGTACAGACCGGCTCCCGCTCACTGGCTGAGCGAGGCGCGGGAGCAACACCGAGGCTTGTGATCCCGTTGCCGGTCCCCGGTCCGGTACGGGGGCAACACTGAGGGTTGCGATCCGTTGCCGGACACGGAAAAAAGACAAAAGACAAAAAAATAAAATAAAATAAAAAAAAATAGGGTTGCGATCCGTTGCCGGACACGGAAAAAAGACAAAAGACAAAAAAATAAAATAAAATAAAAAAAAATAGGGTTGCGATCCGTTGCCGGACACGGAAAAAAGACAAAAGACAAAAAAATAAAATAAAATAAAAAAAAATAAATATTAGTGTATCACGTGTACCACCGTGTATATCAGGGAGAAACTGGGGGCTGTGAATTCAATATCCCTCCAGAACTCACCGAAGTGTGACCCCCCCATTGCAACAGTGCTAAGAGGGGGGGAAATCTGATGTTGGTATTTGAAAGGTGGGGCCTATAGAAGGTGATTAGATTGCGAGGATTGTGCCCTTGTGAGGATTGATCCTTTCATGGAGTAACGAGTATGGTTCTGACAGCTTCATAAGGAGGGCAAGTGAGAAGCTTAGCTGATTCTTGCTCAGCCTGTTCCCTTGCCATGTGATATACTCTGGTTACCAAGGGATCCTGTGGAGAGTTCAACCCAGAAAAAGGCCCTCACCAGATGCATCCCCTGGACTGTGGACTTCCCAGCCTCCAAACCCTAAGAAATAAATTTCATTTTCTTATAAATTACCCAGTTTCAGGTATCCTCTTAAAAGCAACGAAATGGACCAACACACTGGGGGAAAAAATGAACCTGTACACATCTTTATTAGTTGATGACATTTAAACCATTTAGGAAATGATACTGAGAAAAAAAAAAGAACTTCAGTCTCTCAGTATAGATATGGGACTAAATGAAAGTCTTTAAAATTATGAAAGGCCACGTGAAATTCTCAATCACCAAAATCTTTACATGAAAGTTAAACACCAAAACACTTACTTGAGTTCTTGTCTCTCCTTTTGGCTGTTACATAGGAAGTTTCCAAACTGGCAGGAATAAATGTGATGCTGAATATGAATCAAAAATCTCTCACTGAACTCAAAGGCACAGGGAAATTGTTCCATCAACTGCCAGACACACTCAATGAACTGATCAATAACTGGAGAGATTTCTTTTGGGTCACCATCTAGATTGCCATATCTATAAAACAAAGTATTAGGGACTTTTCAAGGTAAGTTGTTGTTTTGTTTGCTTGTTTGTTTTAAATTCAAAAGCTATACATGCAAAAACAATCATAAAAGCAACCCTAGTTCCTAAATAAATTTCATCTCATAAACTCGAAATGAAGTGGAAAATAACTTTTCAAATTCTAATTTTAAGAGAAACTTCATAGGGAAGATCTGGATAGAAAAGGGCCATGTTCATGTTATAGTTACAGAAGAAAGTGTTAGTGCTAGAGATAAGATTCAAGGAAACTATAGAAAAAGAGCACTCTTTAAAGGAAACTTTAAAAGTACATCAGAACTTCTGAAGTAAGTCTTTCAGTTTATTTTAACTAGTGACTTTTGTGGGAGTGAGAAGAAATGTCTAAGCAACTTCTGGGTTTTTCGCCTTTGCATTGTTTAGTTGAGAAGAGATGAGGAAGAAAGGCAACTTGAAAAAACAGTAATTTCCCAAGTTTCTAGGGATAGTCCCATTTCTAATAAATCAAACATGTCACATTATTTATTTAAATGTGACCACAGATTCCACATATAACTTTATATCTCCCATATCCTTGTTCGTTAAGAACACATCAGAATCCTCTCCCTTACATTTGTACTGATTTTAAAATGGAGACTGTGCAGCCCTTTACACTATTATGTGATTTATAGAAAAAATCCAAAGGGGTGCTTTTGGTGCCATTAAAAACAAAATAGCACAGAACTTCATCTTCTCAGCAATGGATAATCAATTTAGGAAGAGAAATGAGCAATGATCAGTTTAAAATTTTTCCCAAGAGTGGAAACATTAAAAATTGTCTGGAAACTTTTAGAACATTTTAGTTCCTCTCACCTTTGGTAGATTTAAAAAGTGTTGCTTAATATATTCTTTCCTCACCAGCAATTATTCAGCCATCCTTCAGCCATTTCCATATTCTTTCTTTCATCTGTCTTCTATCCTAACTGCCTAACTGCCTAGCAGATAGTAGAACTCCAAAACTGAAAATAATAGTGCACTCTTAAGAAGTTCACTTAATTGTTGGGGGCTTTAATTTTCTCATTTATGGAATCACTGTGATTTCCTAGAAAAAATTATAAAAATAGAATTCCAGAAAACCACAGAACTAATGACCAATTAGTGCTAAATGCAAAAACTACAAAAATCAATATGGCAGTTGCATGAATTAAGAATTTATTTTAGAAAAACACATTGAAAGAGTTAAGATGCACAGGGTCCTAGGCAGGCACCACTGGCAGCCCCCACCACCCAGAAGAAGGCAGGAGCATACACAGGGTCCAAGGCAGGAGCCATGAGCAGTCTCCATCACCCAGAAGAAGGCAGGAGCATGTACAAGGTCCTAGGTGGGAGCCGGGGCAATGCCCACTGCCTGGCAAAAAGCAGGAGCATGCACGGGATGGTAGGCAGGAGCCATGGGCAGTATCCCATACCCACCGGCAGAAGCCAGGAGCACACAAAAACACCATTTCCATATGGGTGGACCACCACAGTCACCACCACAACCATCCCTGGCCGCCGCAAAAGTGGCTCACAGCCATGGCCACTGCGCAGGTGGCCCACCAGTCACTCAACTGCACTGACACAAGGACAGTCACCAGCGTAGACCAGAAAAAGAAGAGGAAGTCTCTCTCCTCAAAGCCCACTCCAGAGTAACAGAAGAAGCAACTGCTCTACTGCATGACCAGACATTAACATAGATACTAGAAATACAAAAATACAAGAATATATGATGCCACAAAAAGAATACAAAAATTCTCAAATACCAGACCCTATAGAACAAGACTAGAAATGACTAAAAAGGAATTCTGAGTAACTATCTTAAGGAAACTCAGTGAGATAAGAGAAAACTCTGTAAGACAACACAATGAAATGAGAAAAAATATCCAGGATATGAAGGAGGAAATTTAGAGAGATTATTAATACCTTAAAAATGAATGTAACAGAACACCTGAAATTGAAAGATGCATTCATCGAACTAAAAACACAACCAAGCTTAACCAGCAGACTAGACCAAGCACAAGAAATAATTTCCGAACTCAAAGATGGTCTTTATGAACCCAGGCAGACAAAAAAATCGGAAGAAAGAATTTAAAAATAGGATGATTGTCTAAGAAAGCTAACAGACAAACTTAAGCACAAAAACATTTGAATCATGGGTGTTCCAGAAGGGGAGGAGAAAGGTAAAGGCACTGAAAATCTATTCACTGAAATAATAGGGGAAAACTTCCCAAGTATAGGGAGAGACATAGACCTTCAGATCCAGGAAGCTCAAAGATCCCCAAACGGATTCAATCCAAAAAGATCCTCTCTGAGACACACTGTAGTCAAACTGGCAAAGCTCAAATACAAAGAGAATCGTAAAAGCAGCAAGAGAAAAGCATCAACTCACCTACAAGGGAGCCCTCATCAGACTAACAATGGACTTCTCAACTGAAACTCTACAGGCAAGAAGAAAATGGGATGACATATTCAAAATACTATAAGAAAAAAACTACCAGCCAAGAATATTATACCCAACAAGGTTATCCTTCAGAAATGAGAAAGAAATAGTGTATTTCCCAAACAAAACCTGTGAGAGTTCATCACCACATGACCAGCCCTGTAAGAAATTCTCAAGGGAGTCCTGAATCTGGAATCTGAAGAACAATAATCACTACCATGAATACACAAGTAAGAACAAAACCCACTAGTAAAACACAAATGCAAAAGAGAAATATCAAAGAAACTAAACCTTACTACCTCAAAGAAACCCAACCAACACTGAAGACCAATAATCAAAGAAGAAAGGCACTAAAAATACTTAAAATATCTAAATGAAATCTCATAAAATGCCAGGAATAAAACAATTCCTCAATGTAAATGGATTAAATTCCCCACTCAAAAGACAGACTGACAGATTAGATGAAAAAGCTAAAACCAACTATATGCTGTCTACAAGAGACTCATCTCACTGGTGAAGATGCATACAAACTAATAGTGAAGGGATGGAAAAAGACATACCACACATATGGAAACCAAAAACAAGCAGAAGTAACTATTCTTATACTGGATAAAATAGACTCTAAACCAAAAACCATAAAGAGAGAACAAAGAAAGCCACTATATGATGATAGAGGGATCTATCCAACAAGAAGAAATAACAATCATAAATTTATATGCACCCAAGACTGGAGCAACCAGATATATAAAGCAAACACTATTAGACTAAAGAAAGAGATAGACCCAAATACGATAATAGTTGGGGACCTGAACACCCCTTTCTCTTCATTGGACAGATCATCCAGGCAGCAAATCAACAAAGAAACACATGATTTAAAACACACTTTAGACCAATTTGACCTGGCAGATACCTACAGAATATTTCATCCAACAACTACAGAATATACATTATTCTCATCAGCACATGGAACATTCTCCAAGATAGACCACATGTTAGGTCATAAATCAAGTCTCAATAACTTTAAAAAAAACTGAAATCATTTCAAGTATCTTTTCAGACCACAGTGGAAACTAGAAATTAATAACAAACAAAACCCAGGAAACTATACAAGTACATGGAAATTAAACAACAGGCTCCTGAATGACCTATGAGTACAAGAAGAAATTAAACAGGATGTCAAAAATTTTCTAGAAAACAGTGAAAATGAAAAGACATCATAACAAAACCTGTGAGATACTGCAAAAGCAGTACTAAAAGAGAAATTTATAGAAATAAATGCCTACATCAAAATAATAGAAAGATTTCAAGTAAACAACCTAACCCTACACCTATAAGAACTAGAAAAACAAGAACAATCCAATCCTTAAGTTAATAGATGGAAAGAAATAATTAAGATTAGAGCAGAACTAAATGATATAGAGACAAAAAAAAAGACACAAAAGATCAATGAAACAAAAACTTGGTTTTTTGAGAAGATAAACAAAATAGACAAATCATTAGCTAGATTAACAAAAAGAAGAGAGAAGACCCAAACTACAAAAATCAGAAATGAAAAAGGAGACATTAAAACTGATACCACAGAAATATGAAAAATCATTAGAGACTAGTACAAACAACTCTATGCCAATAAATTTGAAAACCTGGAGGATATGGATAAATTTCTGGACACATAGAAACTACCAAGACTGAACCAAGAAGAAACAGAAAACCTAAACAGAACAATAACAAGTAATGAGATTGAAGCAGTAATCAGCAGTCTCCCTACAAAGAAAATCCCAGGACCAGATAGATGGCTTTACTGCTGAATTCTAACAAACCAGGAATGAATAACAATTCTCTTCAAATTATTCAAAACACTGAAATAGATGCCACTCTCCCAGACTTATTCTATGAGGCCAGCATCACCTTGATACCAAAACCAGACAAAAATACAACAAAAAAAGAAAACTACAAACTAATATCTCTGATGAACATAGATGCAAAAATTCTCAATGAAATATTAGCAATTAGAATACAGCAACACATTAAAAAAATTATACACCATGGTCAAGTGGGATTCATCCCAGAGATGCAAGGATGGTTCAACATATACAAGTCAATAAATGTGATATACCACATCAACAAAATCAAGAATAAAAACCATATGATTATCTCAACAGATGCAGAAAAAGCACTCGACAACTTTCAACATTCCTTCATGATAAAGACTCTTAGCAGGAGAATATCTCAACACAAACAAAATCCATCTATGACAAGCCAACTGCCAACATCATAATGAGTGGGGAAAAACTCAAAAGATTTTCCCTTAAGAACAGGAACAAGACAATGATGCCCCATCTCACCACTCCTATTTAACATAATACTGGAGGTACTAGCCAGAGAAATTAGGCAAGAGAAAAAAAATAGAGGGCATCTAGATTGGAAAAGATGAAGTCAACTGTCCCTATTTGCAGATGACATGATCCTATACACAGAAAAACTAAAAGACTACCAAAAAACTCTTAAAGCTGATTAATAATTTCAGTAATGTTGCAGGATACAAAACCAACTCCCCCAAATCAGTTGCATTTATATTCTCCAATAATGAACAAAAAGAAAGAGAAATCAAGAAAGTAAGCCCATTTACAATAGTCACCAAAAAACTAAAATACCTAGGAATCAATTTAACCAAGGAGGTGAAAGATCTCTATAATGAGAACTACAAATCACTACTGAAAGAAAGAGAACACAAAAAAGTGGAAAGACATACCATGCTCCTGGATTAGAAGAATCAACATTGTGAAAATGTCCATACTACCCAAAGTGATCTACAGATTCAAAGCAATCCCCATTGAAATACCAATGACATTCTTCACAGAAAGAGAAAAAACAATCTTAACATTCAAATGGAACAACAAAAGACCCCGAATAGCCAAAGCAATCCTGAGCAAAAAAAATAAAGCCAGAGGGACAACACTACCTGACTTCGAATTATACTACAAAGCTATAGTAACCAAAACAGCATGGTACTGGCATAAATATAGACACTTGGACCAATGGATCAGAATAAAGAACCCAGAAATCAACCCACAGACTTATAGCCAACTGATCTTTGCCAAAGGCAACAAGAATATACATTGTAGAAAAGATTGCCTCTTCAATAAGTGGTGCTGGGAAAATTGGACATCCATATGCACAAGAATGAAACTAGACCCGCACCTCTCACCATATACCAAAGTCAACTCAAAATGGATTAAAGACTTAAGTATAACACCTGAAACTAAAATTACTAAGGGGAAATATAGAGAAAGCACTTCCGGAAGTAGGATTGGGCAAAGACTTTATGAATAAGAGCCCCAAAGCACAAGCAACAAAAAAATAACATGGGTGAACTTAGAAAAAATTATGTTAAGCAAAATGAGCCAGGCACTGAAAGGGAAATACTTCATGTCCTCACTCATAAGCGGGTGCTTAAAAAAGAAAAGAAAGAAAGATACAACAATCACAACAATTCCTTGAATTTTCAGAAGGAGGGAACAGAACTGAGGCCACCAGAGGTGAGAAAGGGGGAGAGTAAGGAGAGGTTAGGGAGAAATTGGTAAAGGGCCACAAAAACTGTTTACATTGTGTAACAATAAAAATAAATAATTTTTTTAAAAGTTAAAAATATATATCAAAATATCTAATGAAATTATTCCTAACAATGTACCTAAATTTAAATTTAGACTAAGTACAGCTACAACACTTAAGATTCAGAGATTAGAGAACCCTGGAAGGTTCTCTAGAGAACCCAGGACAAGCATTATCATCAACGTTAACAAAAAAAACAGTTTCTGTTTGTTGAGGGCCTGCTATATGGGCAGGCATGGAACTGTGCTAGTTACGTATACTTTTTTAAAATCCTTTTTACAACACTGTGGAGGGAGGATGTCCCCATTCCACAGAGGGGAGACCAAACAAAGGTCAGAGAGGACAGATGCCCAAGACCAGACAGTAAATACCACAGCCTGGGTGTGGAGTTGGATGTTTCTGGCTCCACAGCCTGTGTCACTGTCCTACGTCACCTCTCCAGAAACATCTGGGACAACCTTCACTTTGACACAATTTGGTCCCCACTGAGAAAGATCAAAGAAACTGTCCCACAGGCATTTCAGAACATGTAGCCTAAAGGCAATGTCTGCATTTCTAAGAATAATTTAGTAAATCAAATGTGTATGGTATGAGTAAGGGAGAACGGATCCTTTCTAGGTCAGTTAATGAAAACGCACTTGCTCTCTCTTATGGAACAATTTAACATTAGTTCTGCCCAACGAACACCTAGAGCAACCGGAGTTAAGCTTCATTTATCTGTGATACAACGATTACAAAAAAATTTAAACTTTCTGAATAAGATAAACAAAGCAAAAAAACTTATAAAAACAAGGCTATTTTCCCCCAGACACTCAACGGAAAACTTCAAAAGCAGTGTTTTTATTCTAAACATTCAAAACAACAGATTTTTAAATATTTCTTACCTGTGATTAAACTTATGACCAAAGGAAATCCAGTCCTTTTCAACTAATACCTACATAGGAAAGAATATAAATATCATGGAGAGAAGCAAACGAGGGAAAATAAGAGACCACAAGCTATAATGCTGAAGGATTCAGAGGAACTTGGAGCAGAAGTCACTATCCCCAGGTAACCTGCAAATGAATGAGGACACATTATCCTCCAATACAAAGTGCATACAAGAAGGGCAAAGTTGAAGGTCATCTGTAGGAAAAATGGGGATGGATATATGAAAATGTAGGGGCCGGCCCGGTGGCGCACTGCTACAGTGCGCATCTTGGGAGCGCGGCAGCACTCCCGCCGCCGAGGGTTCGGATCCCACATACAGACCGGTTCCCGCTCACTGGCTGAGCGAGGTGCGGGCGCGACACCGAGGGTTGTGATCCCGTTGCCGGTCCCGGTCCGGAACGGGCGCGACACTGAGGGTTGCGATCCGTTGCCGGACACGAAAAAAGACAAAAAAAAAAAAAAGAAAATGTAATAATTCCACCCACTGAGGCCTCCTATATGCCAGGGGCTGCTCATTTGCTTCACATATTATCTCATTTAATTGTGAGAGAGGTATTATCATCACTCCCATTTTACAGAAGAGGAGATGGAAACAAAGAGGGGTTAAACATTCACCCAAGATCGTGCTACTAGGCAGAGGAGGATGCCACTTCATAACCTAGCCCTCTCCACTCCAAACCCCATCTCTTAACCAGTATGTCATGCTGCCCCTCAATACAATGTAAAATACCAACCTTTTAACAAGAACTATCAGGAAAGCTGTTTAGTGATCTTTACCACACAGTAGAAGAATTCTAAAATGATGGGGTTAGGGGTGTATTAGAAGTTTCAGCCCTGCTCTTGAATTAGGGTTAACATGAGTTTATAGTCTCAAATCGTCTGGATTTTTTTTTTTTTAATGTCTAATCACATAATAGGAAATAGTCTCATCAATATTACCAATGCTTTAAAATGGCCAGAGGTTTCCTCTAAAAAAATATGGACTGGTTGAAGTCTGTCCTTGACAACTTTAAAGGCATTTTCTTTGGGTTGTTAAGTTTAATGTTTTATTGGGATGAAATTAGAATGAGTCATTGGCAGAAAAAGATGGTGTGCATGAGAAAGGCCCCATGGCAGCATGTGACCAAAAACTCCTCTGCTCTCCAAATGTAAATGAAGAAAGCCAGCCTTCTCCTGGAATCAGTCCCAAGAGGAGTCTAAAGCAGGAGTGTCCCTCTGAAGCTTCAGTGCTGTCAAATATAATTGGAAGTTCTTAGACACTTCCATAAAAAGAAAAAAGAAAAAGCCCAAGAGAGGAAGCCTGCCTCGTCTCTCTTGCCGCCAGAGTGTCAGCTCATATCACTTGATAAAGAAGATCTAGCAGTAAAGATAATTCACTAGAGCTCCTCTGTCAGCATCTGTTCCTAGCACGAATTCAGGATTCACTGAAGCACTTTCTACCAAATCATGGTTCGAGTGACAGGTACTGGGTTATCTCCTAGTCTCTAAGAAGTCCCCTGCACTCATTTTAAGGAAGTTGTACCAGCTTAGCCAAAACTTCACCACCCTAGGCAACTGCAACAAATAGTCTGTAGCTGGAAGCAAAATCTTGCATTCTGATACACACCTAAAAGGTTCAAACTCTAGAAGCTGTATTCGGAATTTCAGTAAAGAACACAAAAACACCGGGACATTTCAGTATTTTCATCCAGAGTAGTGAAGGACTAAAAAATATAAAACCTGGAAGTGAAAACAGTTTTTCCTCCTAAGGACTTTTTGCACACACAACATAGAAAATTTTTTTCTCCAAATATTTTTTCTGAAAAGTGTTTTCTGTTAAATATTCAGGTTATCTCAAAGTTAAAATACTAATGAGCAAATAATATACAAAACTCACTGTTTTAAAAACTACTAAATATATTTTATATTTGCCCCCAAATTCACATTTCAATAGCATTAATTTGAATTGGTTTCAATATCCCAGAAATTCACCTTTTTACTTCAAGCCTATTTTACCTTTTCCCTTTTAATTAACCTTGCTGATTCTACTAAGAGAAAAACAACACTGCTGAGAACAAAAAAAAAAAAAAAAAGCTGCCAATAGTTGCCAAAAGAGATGTGCATTCATGGTCAAGGCAGTGCCCCTGGGAGCAGCCCGGCTGCCACACTCACCATGAAGCCCTTCAGCGTCCGGTAGTGCGGATCCAGCAGGAGGCTCGCCACTGAGCACACCTGAGCAGTTCTGTCCCAGCCATCAGAACAGTGCACAAGCACACTCGCCCCTTCCTCAGAAATTGCCTGAAAACCACAGGATTGGCAAATGGTCACAAAGAATGGCCATAAAAAAGAAAAATCTCTCATCAGAACTAGGTTTGGTTATATACTTACAGAAGGAAACAAAACTGTTCATTCATTTATTCAGTGTTTATGCCCCAACTAGTTAGGGCAGAGCCAAGGAGTGGCTTTGTTCTGGGAGCTGAAGCTTTTCCTCTCCTTCCCTTGTATCTGCAAGCCACCACTCAAGTCACCTCAAATAAGCATATGTATTATATAAAAGTATGCTTCCGATGCAGACATATTCCCTAGCCCTCCTTCAACCCTCTTTCTTCCACTCCAGGTTTCCACATTAAGCCTTACTGGAATTCTGGTGTTGCTACTGGTCCCAATCGTTTCCACAAAGGAAAAGGCACAAAAGTCATCACAAAACTACGAAGTTGCAGATAAAAGGATAAGAGCCAAGTACTGGGACCAAAGATTGGGGAAGAAGGAGAAAACAAAGGTAAAAATCATGCCAGAAAATCCCTAAGAAAAAAATTTCTATTTGCTATTGCCAATGTACACATGACTCTTAGCTAAATATCTTGGCAGGAAACATAAATTGGGAAACACAGTGGAGATTTCATCACAGCATCTATCACTACATGAAATTCTATTTTTATCTGTTTATTAATTTTCTGTCTCCCACACCAGAATGTAAGTTCTGTGAGGGAACAGACTTGATCTGGCTTATTCAGCACTGCATCTGCAGTACCTAGAACAGTACCTGGCACAAAATCTGTTGAATAACTGGTTATCTAATAAGAGGGAGTATACCCTGTCATCACAAAAGATATGGTTCTCTTTAGGTATAAATCTGAGAGAAACTTATAAAGAAAAAACACTGAACAACATAATAGATGATGCATTCAAAAACAGCTTGAATGACAGATCCTTCCTATGGCAGAGTGGAATCTACCTACCAGCTACAGGAACATGACTTTTGCTTATACCATGACTAGAAAGAAGGATCTATTGGATAGAAGCCTCAAGTCCCTACCACTGAAGTGACACATTTGGTTGTACTCTCCTGCAGAAAATCCTTTCCTCCAGCCAGGATCAAGCCTAATGGAAGAGAGAATATTGTGGAAAAATTTTACCATTTGACCACCGTGATGACATACTATGAACTGAGCTGTGTATTCTCTTTCACAAAATCACATCTTCAGAGGGCAAACTATGTGGAGGTCTGCAAAGCCATCTACGCATTCAGTGCAGTGCAGCTTAGTACACGGGAGTCCATGGAGAGGAAACAGGATGGCTATTCTGAAGTCAGAGTGGCTTGCTGGTCTGCCCGCTAGTTTATTTTGTCTATAATCACATACCTTTGCAATGAAGATTCCTGCATCCATGATAGCCTTAATGTGCCTTAACCAGCCAGAGTTCTCCAGACCCCACAGGAAATCACTCATGGAGGGAGATTTAAGTTCACACACTGCAAGATAAATCATGTTATAGAAGTGAAATTAAAGTGATCTCTCATTTTACATTTGCTCATATTTTTCAGGTAGTTTGTTATTAATTCTTTTGCAGTAGCAGATATTTTCTGGAAGACAAGTCAAAATAAATACTCAAGATTACTAAACTTAAGTCTATTGAACCATTTCAAGTAAGGATCTTCTACCACCTTTGGTCATGGGGGATGCTTATCTGTTTACAAGTATTAGATTTATAAAGTTTAAATCCTAATATTAATGAAAATCATTAAATGCTATCATAGTAAATTCTAGCAAAGAACATCTATTTAACTTTTCAGGAAAGCTATTAAAAATAGGCCACTAAGGAGAACTTGAGTTAAGAGTGCTGTAGAGGAAAAATCTTATAATTAACTCCAGTACCTACCCAATTAGAACTCTCCATCACCCAACCACTCAGATTAGGACTGTTGTAAAAACGCAAAACAGAACTATTCTAAGAGTCTTAAAAGGAAATGATCAAATTCCTCTTGCCAACAACCCCCACCCAGAGTAAAGCTTGTGAACTTAAAAATAAGATCTATAGCACTGATCTGATTCTAGGGCATCAGGTTAGGGGGTTTGCCTTTGATTGAAAATAAAGAAGCCTAGGATCCCTATATCTATAATTTACACAACTAAGGGAGGTGTGTAAACACATCTATAATATTATGAACACTTAAGTAATTTTCACCTCAAGAGACTGTCTTTTATTTAACATAAAGCATAAAAAAGCTTTAGAGCTAGTGTTCTGACTACATATCACATATATCGCACTCCAAAGTTTATGGGTTTTATCCCTATAAAGCCCTTTTGAAAAGTCTTATAAATCAACCAATGAAAATTAAATAATGATCCATAGTTTTTTTGTTTGTTTTAAAGATGACCAGTAAGGGAATCTTAACCCTTGACTTGGTGTTGTCAGCACCACGCTTACCCAGTGAGCAAACCAGCCATCCCTATATGGGATCTGAACCCATGGCCTTGGTGTTATCAGCACCACACTCTCCCGAGTGAGCCATGGGCTGGTCCTTGATCCACAGTTTTTGTTTTTGGTTTTAGTTCAAGCATATTTTACTGTACTGTGATGCAATAAACACATGCAGGGAGGAGGGAACCCCACCTACTATTCTCAACTCCGTCAGTAACTAGCTGTGTAATTTTGCAGTCTTTCAACTCTTTGAGCCTCAATTTCTTCATTTTTAAAATAGGAAAGCTGTACTAAATTATATCCTTCTAACTCTAAACTCTCTGATGCAACTTTGTTAACTCTTCAAAATACACGGCAACCATTAACAACAATATTTATCAGATGCTCTGAACCCAAAGACACCGGTGAACCGAGGGTTCACTCTGATTTCTCGCAATGTAAGAACCACACAAAAAAGCACAAGTGGCTAAATTCTGAGTCATAGATGATTGCAATGATGAAGAAAATAAAACTGAGATGCCCAGCAAAAAGGCCTACTGAAGAAAACCATATTGTGAAAATGTTTAGCCAAGATTCCAAAATCTTCCTTCCAAATGTCTGCCCTGAGCTGGAAAGCTCTGGCGACCTAATGAGCAGCTGGGGAACTGAAGCCCTTCTGGCAGCGCTCTGGTTCAGAGCACTGTCCTTCTGTCTGAGGTCACAGTGCTGTGCCCACCCTGGCCCCACATCACAGGACACTACCAATAATATCTGGAAAAGTACATGCAAAACATTAAAGGAGAGGGTGCTCTGCTGAAGGCCAGTGAAGAACATACTCACTGATTCACAGAATCTACGCCTCTATTAGTCAGCCCCACAGCCCTGGGTACTCAGCAATGATTGTTTCCAAGCTTACAGGTTTAGTCACCAAGAGTTATGAAATATTTAAACATACAAAGATTTAAAAATAATGTAACATATCCAGACAATGAAATATTTTTCAGTGATAAAAAGAAATGAGCTATCAAGCCATGGAAAGACGTGAAGGAAACTCAAATGCTTATTACCAAGTGAAAGAAGCTAATCTGAAAAAACTACAGACTGTTTGACTCTGTTAGCCCAGAGGATCAAGGTAGGAGGGGACTGATGAGGGTTAGTCATTAGATCAGCCAGTTCCAGGGAATTGAGAAGGGAAGCTCCTGACCACAAAACCAGCAGAAACCAGTTAAGACTAGACCCACCAAGTTTCGAGGCTAACAATCTAGACCTAGAGTAAACTTTGCTCATTACAATACTAAATCTCTCCCCAGGGGCGGTATAATTACTAATTAGCATAACATGGTGATGATTTTTTTTTGACCGGTAAGGGGATCGCAACCCTCTACACGGTGTTGTCTGCACCACACTCAGCCAGCGAGCACACCGGCCACCCCTATATAGGATCCGAACCTGCGGCCTCGGCGCTACCAGCGCCGCACTCTCCCAAGTGAGCCACGGGGCCAGCCCCATGGTGATGAATTAACTGCACCTGTGCAGGCAGACACTTCACTCTACATGTAATGACTTCAATAAAGCTTATGTATATTCATGTTGATCCTCAATAAAAGAAGTTGTAACCCTCCTTTCAGGGAGACACTGCTTTGGGAGCACTCGCTAGTGTTCTCCTTGCTTGTGACAACTAATAAAACTTCCTATCCAGACTTCTGGTCCCGGACGCATCGCGCTCACTGAGAAACAGACTCATTGAGGCTGGTAACAATTCCAACTAAATGACATTCTAGAAAGGGCAACACTATAGAGAAAGTAAAATGATCAGTGGTTGCCAGGGGTGAGGGTAGACAGAGGGATGTATAGGCAGGGCAGAAGAATTTTAGGGCAGTAAAACTTCTCTGTATGATACTATAATGATGGATACATGTCATTAAACATTTGTCCAAACCCACAGAATGTACACCACCAAGAGTGAAACCTCATGTAAACTCTGGTGTCTGGGTGATAACGACGGGTAAATATAGGGTCATGAATTGTAACAAATGTGCCACTCAGGAGGGGGATGTTCATAGCGGTGGAAGCTATGCATGCGTGGGGGTAAGGGGTTTATTAGCTATCTCTGTACCTTCCTCTCAATTTTGCTGTGAATCTAAAACTGCTCTAAAAAAATAAAGTCTTAAAAAAAAATAGTGTGACACCCAGATTGGCCACAATTGCTTCAGATCTCTCTTTTAAAAGAAGTTGTTACAAATTACAAGTTCCATGCTCCCAGGCCATCCTGTTTCTTCTCTTTGAAGTGTACTACTAATATTCCCAAGCATGTTTTTGTCCTTTCAGTACTTAGATACTAGCTGTGTAAGCCTGGACAAGTTACTTAGCCTGTCTGTGCCTCAGTTTCCTTGACTGTAAAATGGGGGCAATAATAGCCCCTGCATCAAAGGGTTATTATATATGTTAGCCCATAGGTTGGGCTGGGTCACAGACCCCTCGCATGCAGGTCACGAGATAGGTAATTGGAAAAGATCCCAGGAGCTGCCGGCAAGGACGACATGCTTCACTAGGACGTGAGCTCAGCCCCCACTCAGCAGCAGCAGCAGCAGGAGTAGCAGGAGCTTCCAGCAGATCTAGCAGCACCGGCAACGGCCCCCTGGTGGCCTCCGGGGATGGCATCCCTGGGGGCCCTGTGGATCAGAGCCATTCTGTCAATCTCGTTTCTCTAAAGATATTAATGCCAGTTTTTGGTTTTCTTCTGTTCTCTGTTTTTCTCTATATTGTTTTTGTTTGCTTGCGTGTGTGTGTGCATATGCACACGTGTGTGTGAGAGAGTATGGTCTCTGTCATTCATTTTGGGCTTTCCTCGATTCTCTGGTCATCTCTGACTGTCGATTCACACGTAAGAGTGAGACACAAAAGGCTGGCTGGAAATGCTGCTATGGGCATGGGCAGGCTTTTCTAGCTGCTGGGCTTAGCTGTGGGAGATTTATTTGTCTGGTCTGTCCCCCAGACATCAGGATCTGCAAGTTCTTTCTCTTGAAATAGCTGGAGGCCCCAGGGAGGGATCTTCCAAGCAGATGAATGGGTCAATAAGATTGGATGCCAACGTCCTGAGAGCAGATCTGGGGCGGGGAACCATGGTCTCATTTTTCTGTTCTCAGACTTTCGCTCACCGCCCTCCCTTTTTTTGCTCTGGTTATTCCCTGCCCCCTCCTCCAGCTTTGCCTGGTATCCCTGATCTCAGAATCCTTCCAGTCAACCTTTCCAGAAAGTTCATCACCATCTTGAGGCTTTGTGAGGCAGTGCAGGGAGGGAGGAGTCTGGGGTCTAGCGAAATGCTCCTTGTACCAGCACTTGGCCAGTCCTGCTTCAGAGTCACATGATGCCTCTCATTCCAGAGCCTTTCTACGGATCTGCAGAACCATTTGGCTTGCTTTGGGGTTTCTCACATTTCTACCAGAAATTCCAGTTTTTATATTGTTGTTCTGTCACTTCCTCTCCCATTCTCTCATCCTTTTGTATTTTTGCCTTTTTTGTTAGTTTATTATCACCTTAGTGGGGAGTCAGGACGAAGTGGGTAAATATTTGTCAAATTAGAACAGAGACAAGAGATCAAACTTTGGGCCTTGCAAGGCAGGAGGAGGAACTGAGATTCCCTATATTAAACTGAGCCGTTTAAAAAAAAAAAAAAAATCTACTTATGGACTCAGGGTGCTGACCAGGAAGCTGGTCTCAGCCTGGACTCCACATGAGGAAAATAAAAATTTATCCTGAGTATTGAAGCCCTGGGCCTGGTCTCATACATGTTTGGGATCCAAATGCTCACTTTCTTCATGCCCAGAATCCCTCACGCTGTGAAACTGTCCTGCTTGGTCTGGGAAGCACGTGTTGTGAGAGAGGAGGAGAGGGTGTGTGAAAGCCCATTGCTCCTCTTCTACGGAGCAAAGGCAACAGGCCCCATGTAGAATAGAAATATCAAGCCATAGCAGTGAACTCAGAGAAGGGCAGAAATATGGACAGCAAGGAGATCACAGAAAGCGGCTGCCCTGGATAGGAGGACGGAGGCTGGGACAGTGGGTACAGGGC